TTTTACATTGCTCTGTGTGGGATGAGGAATCATGCAAAATCAGTAAAAATAAAGTAAAACAACATTTATGCAAAAATCATCAGTAGTCAAAATAAAATGAATTAAAAGGACGGTAGTTTACAAAGATAGTAATCAATGAATGTAACAAATAATAAGTTACCTAAATATGTAATTAAAAAGGTTAAACCATAAAACATAACATATACAGTCAAAACCAAAAATTATTCAGACAGAAGATATAATTGTTGATATTTTTTTACTAGTGGGTGCAGGACACTATAGTCCAGTTATGTAAGTGAGGATAGCAAAATAAAGTAAACTGTGAGATATTATAAGCAAAAAATCTTCATACAGTGGACTACCAGTAAAACTGATCACATTTGGGACCAAACGTAATTATTCAGACACTTTGACCTTTAAGTGTTTCTCCGTCTACTATTTGTCAATTACTATAGTCTACTACGACTGAAAATATATAATATCGCAAAGATATGATTATTACTAGTTGTGTGTGACTGAAGAGAGTCCACTAGCTGTTAGCTAACCGAGCTAACCACACTGTGATATAGGAAGTAGACGTTTGAATGTCTAACACAACACATTAGATAGTTAGTTTGCTGCTAAATGTAATTAGTAACATACCTGTTTGTGTTGAGTGAGTGCTCTTAAAACGTTACGTGTGATTATTAACTGTTAGCTCCATAACCCACACCGGCGCTAAACTCCGGACGCCTGTTACTATAACAACCAGCTGACAGCTACCGATGTGCGCATGCGCGCGAAACTGCAACCAACGGGCGGCCGCTGAGTGCGCATGCGTCGCGTTCGTTTCGCGTTTGAACTTTTTGAGTAACGAGCAATATATTACCAAAAAGGCGAAATGTTTTAATGCAAAATTACATTACATGTTTTCGGCGCTTTTTTGTTTTTGGTTTGTTCCCAGAGATTTACATTTAATTTAAAATCATTTATAAAATGTGAACAAATTGGTTTACATTGAGTCCACTTCTTTCTTCGTATGTATATTGTATTTTCCTAATAAAATAAACAAATGTATAATATGTTGTTCATTAAAATTCACAATTTCAAGTTAAAATCGTAGATAGACTGTATTCTGACACGCCTTTAGAAATCGTCAGATGCTTATCGGCCAGCGATTGGTCCGAACTCCTAGAAGTGGGCGGTCTTTTAAAAGACTGGTCCCAAACTATCCAATGGGGTGGTGGTACGGCGTGACGCAGCCGCCTTCCGCAGTTTCTGATTGGACCGCATTCAAGTGCATGACTGCTCAATGTTGTGAACTTGAAGAGGTTTGATAAACAGAAATCAATCACGCCGACTGATGTTTGTGAGTATATAGTTATACAGTACATGTACGTATTGGAACACATACATAAGGTAAGACTAAAGTTACTAATAAACAGTGTCGTATATTATCGCATGTGACCCTGGAGCACAAAACCAGTCATAAGTAGCACGGGTATCATACATTGTATGGGTCAAAATCATTAGGATATTAAGTAAAGATCATGTTCCATGAAGATATTTTGTAAATATATTAAAATGTTATTTTTGATTAGTAATATGCATTGCTAAGGACTTCATTTGGACAACTTTAAAGGCGATTTTCTCAATATTTATTTTTTTTTTTTTGCATCCTCAGATTCTAGATGTTCAAATATCAGTCATTGTATCTCGACCAAATATTGTCCTATCCTAACAAACAATCCATACATCAAAGGATAGCTTATTTATTCAGCTTTCAGATGATGTGTAAATCTAAATTAAAAAAAGACCCTTATGACTGGTTTTGTGGTCCAGGGTCACATATGTGTAATGTTTAATGATGATCCAGACGAGTTTATGATAGCATAACAACCCAGACAGAGAAGCACCATAGTGCCATGTTCTTTGCATATGTGTCATGGTAGTACCATAGAGTAATACCATGCTACACGAGCATTACAGTCATTCTGTATGGTATATCTCAGAGTACCATGGTAATAGCATGTCGTGCCATCAGTGCAGCACTGAGCTGATCTTCTAACCCTGCTGTTGATCTCCTGCAGGCGTGCGCTGAAGGATGAGCCGCTTTCTGAACGTGTTGAGGAGCTGGCTGCTCATGGTGTCAGTGATCGCTGTGGGAAACACAGTGCAGAGCTTCAGAGATCACAGCTTCCTGTCCCAGAAGCTCTACACAGGAACACCTGAATATGGTCAAGACCTGCTCTTCATAAACATCACCTTTATTCTTTACCGACTCATTAACTAACATTATCACTTAACAGATAAGCATTACCGTTGTTTATTGCGTGTACTGTCTATGAACACAGAAAGTGTCTACATTTAGTCATTTAGCAGACGCGACTTATAAATGAGGACAATGGAAGCAATCAACAAAAGAGCAATGATATGCAAGTGCTATAACAAGTCTCAGTTAGCTTAACGCAGTACATGTAGCAAGGGTTGTTTTTTTATTATATAATAAATAAAAAGCAAACAAATAGATTAGAAAAAGAATAGAGCAAACTAGTGTTAGAGGCCTTTTTTTGCTTATTGTTAATTGTAAAATAAATAAAAAAAACAAATTAATAGAATACAAAAAGATTAGAGAAGCAAGTGAATAAGTGCAGTTAGTAAATAAATAGAGTGCAAGTCTAAAAGGGGCAAGTTTTTTTAATATAAAGAATAGAATTAGAATAGAGTGTTAGAGTTAGAGGGTCAAATAAAGATGGAAGAGATGTGTTTTTAGCCGATTCTTGAAGATGCTGGGATTGAGTTGGGCAGGTCATTCAACCAGGAGGGAACATTTAATGTAAAAGTCTGTGAAAGTGATTTTGTGCCTCTATTTATAGAGTTTATTTTCTATCTTTATTTAGACACATATACATGCTTTAAAATACTGTATGCCTCAACACTATCATTTTTACTGATACATTTTTACATTTTAGTGTAGCAAACAAGAATATGAGCAGGTAGTTAAAGAACATTAGAAATTGTACACATTTTCAGCCAGAGTTAAGTCATTTTAGGTGCTAAATGTCCTGATGTGTTATTCTTTAGTAAACGGTCTTCAGGCGAGAACCTTTGGCATATGGACTCTCCTGTCCGCCATCATCCGCTGTGCCTGTGCCATAGACATTCAGAACAGTATTTTTGATTAAATAAATGCAGCCTCGGTGAGCAGAAGAGACTTCTTTGAAAAATTAAAAGAATCAGTTATTGCAAACTTTTTGAACAGTAGTGTACACCTGCATACAAAAATATACAGCATGGAGGTAGATTTGATCTGATACCTTGAAGTAGTTTGTGTCTGTACGAACACTGACTTTCAAATACATACTCCATATTTGAGAGAAATGTAATGGAAAAATATATTTATCATCATATAATATTTCACAGTTATACTGTATTTTTGATTAAATAAATGCAGCCTCGGTGAGCAGAAGAGACTTCTTTGAAAAATTAAAAGAATCAGTTATTGCAAACTTTTTGAACAGTAGTGTACACCTGCATACAAAAATATACAGCATGGAGGTAGATTTGATCTGATACCTTTAATATATAAACATAACATATTTTTTTAAATATGCATGCATGTGTGTGTATTTATATAGACATAATAAATATACACAGAACACACGTAAACAAAAACTTTTCTTTTGGATGTGATTTTAATCGTTTGACAGCACTAGTATTTACATTTTTAAAAAGTATCAATGTTGATTTCTGACCCTTTGTATTAAAAAGTTTGGGCACTACTGTTTTCGAATGATAGTGCAGTGATGGAAACTGTGAAATAACACAATTGTAAGTCTGAAAACCTGACACATTTGAGCTGCTTCTGTCTAGATGACAGCTCTGAGCTCCTGGAGGAAATTTTGTAGTTACATTTCTATTTGTTTAAATAATGAATGTCAAGCAGAACGGGTTTTAATAGGTGCTGTTCATGAGTGTTTATTTCTGGTCATGTCTCAGTGGTTTCTCTATAACACATGTGGAATAGTTTACATGACTCATTTGCAGTTTAGCCACTAGTTATCTCTTTATTACTGAATGTCAGATTTAATTTACGACACCAAGAATTTCTAGATTATATACAAAATGTTTCTATACAAACAATAACAGTACACAGGACTACATCCACGCACGTTTCTAACATGAACAATGATCTGATCACAACACGGCTGTACATTGAAACTAACTAACATTGAACATCTCTACACACTGAAGTCTGAGTTGTGACTGATCATCTATTTTGCTCAAAATCTGTGTAAAAACTGATATCAAAGCCACTTTTCTGTACAGACATCTATGACTGTGGTCTGATTTGTTACACAGAATCCATGGCATCTCAAAAATAAATATTGCTGATTTGCCCAAAAATGTGTCTCATATTACCTTCCATCACGTACAGCTTTAAAGCATTTACCAATGTAACAAAAGCAGTCAAATGTAAAACGTTAATGACAAAAAGTATTTGACCATGGAAGATGAGATTGTGACGTCTCAATGGGATTCTCCTGGCTAAATAAAGGATCAAAAATCTTTCAACTTGGAGTCTGCAAAGGACTGGAAAAACATGTTCAAACTCTCCATATGTGAGCCTGGAGCACAAAAGCAGTCTTAAGTCGCTGGGGTATATTTGTAGCAATAGCCAACGATGCATTGTATGTGTCAAAATTATTGATTTTTCTTTTATGCCAAAAATCATTAGGATATTAAGTAAAGATCATGTTCCATGAAGATATTTTGTAAATGTCCTACTGTAAATATATCAAAACTTAATTTTTGATTAGTAATATGCATTGCTAAGAACTTCATTTGAACAACTTTAAAGATGATTTTCTCAATATTTAACTTTTTCTGCACCCTCAGATTCCAGATTTTCAAATAGTTGTATATCGACCAGATATTGTCCTATCCTAACAAACCATATATCAATGGAAAGCTTATTTATTCAGCTTTCAGTAAAAGTAGTTCAATTTTGTGGTGCAGGGTTACATTTAATCTCTTAAACTTCACATAAACACACGTTTATGAATATCTTCCTTTTTCCCCACAAAATCCGTAATGTTCTGTGGATGCAGTAAAAGCAAAAAAAAAAAACATCAGACTCGTGTTTGCATTTTCTTCTATCCATAATTCTGACCTTAAAATCCGGATTAGGCATCAAATAATCTCATACACATGACAATGGGCTGAGAATTGAACAAAACGTTGTAATGCGGCTCAGACAGGATTCATGTGTTTGTTTGTAATTAACAGATAATGCGAGACGTCTTCAACCTCTTCTTTGCTTCAGCAAAACAGATACAGTTTTTGGAATCAGCAGTCCAAAATGAGTAAGAGAACATCTTGGATTTCATTCGGCGTAATCAATCACACATTACACTGCACACTACAACACACATAAACCATTGCAGATGTTCCCAAAATAAATTATGTTCTAATTCCCTGTGTTCTGCACTGTTGTTGTGTTAGTATTGCATTATATAAGACGAGAGTATCATCACACATCTCCACTGACCACTGATGCTCTTTCACAAGGCGCTCACACATTTAAAGCACCATATATTGAATTGATGGTTTCATTGAAGGACTTTGACCTTCCATATTAACCTGAACACAGAGCGAGATCTCCTGAATCAGATCTAGATGTGTCTGTCACAGAGACACTTTATACTAGATTAGTACTTGTAGTGCTAAAATCATTTGGTTCTCATAACTAAAGTTTAGGTCAGCTCTAACGGACCATCATGCAAACATCATGATACACATAAGGCGTAGAAAATTACACATTACAACATGAAACACGAGCAGTTCATGTGAATTGTTCATAAATCCATACATGTGTGAATTGAATGCAACGGCCTGCAATTTTTTGTGCTTGTGTTTCACAAATGATTCCCACTGAATGTTGTGACGTGGGAGCACTGAAGGAACAATGTAAAGTTAGAAAACGTACTTTCGGTTGTGCTTGAGTATGTAAACTGAGCTGTCATTGTTCAGGATATTGGCTGTGTAGGAAGTTCAAGAGGATTTATGCGTATGATGGTTCATATGGATTTGTGATGCACACTGAGAGTGTGATTCCGATTGTTTCCGTCTTTACATCTTCACCTCTTTTACCGGTAGCGATTTTCCATCTTGGGGATGTACGGATGAGTCCTGAAAAGAAGAAACAAACAGGGTAAATTAAGCCTCCGTTCACATTCACTACTGTTCCTCAGTAAGGGACTATAATAATTTTGACATAAACTAACATAAAAAAATGCACTTCATGCAGAGAGAAATTGACTGTAGAAATCTAAAACTGTACAAATGAACCAAGAAAAGTAATAGATAGAAATAGTCAAGTGAAATTTATTTGTAAAGTACTTGTCACAATACATTTTTTTTTAAAGCAGCTTTACAGAAAATCATGATGTTGATGTTCTGTTCATAATATCTTAATATCTTCATGCCTTATAGTCACAGCTAGCATTATAGACCTGGGCAATGATATAGTTTATATTTTGAGATTTGATATACTGTGTGTGTGTATATACACTCAATGTACAACCACATTATACATATATATATTATACCACATAAATAAATAAATCAGGCAGATTTTTGAGTAGAGAGTATATCGTTTTATGCAACTCTACTGTATGCATGTGAATAAAGTTCATATCTGTTTAGAATCATATCTATTACATGCTTATTCACAGACACACATCTCAAGAATGCTCATGTTTGGCAAATTCAGCTGAAAATTCATTGGTGTGCTTACTGTTTGATCTAGTTTACTGACCAAACTAACATATCTGATATGCTTTTTAAGAGATGTGTGTTAGTACAGTTATTACTATATTTATATGCATCTATTTTTTGTTTATTTTTATATTTGATTATTTTACCTGATTTTCACTGGCTGCACAGTTTTGTTGGTTTGTAACTTGCAGTATATTCGCCTCTAGTATAGTCAAGTTCTTCCCCATTATTTTTTTGTGCCATATGGACACTGTGTTTATTTTTGTTCTTTCTCTTAAGATGACAAAAACCTGAGGTTTATGGATGGTTTTACTATTTCTCCCCAGACACAACAGGCTCTTTTCTTTGAGTGCATTAGCTGTCAGACTCTCACAGCTGAAGCTCTCTCATGCAGTTTGATCCTGAGTTTATCCCGTCACTGGTTAAGGTCTCCCTGTCCTATGAAGTGCCGCTCAGCCGTGGCCTCCAGCTCTTTCTACTCCGCTGTCAGACCTAATCGTCCCATCATAACACTCAGCCTGACCGCAACTTCACTGGGCTGAAGGACAACTACAATAACTGGGCGACTGAAACATTTACACAAATGATCATGGGACATCCTGGATCCTTGTCACCAGCCTTGTGCTCTTACCACTAGATGGCCACATTGAGTTTTTTTTTATTTTTTTATCCAATCATCTGATCATCTGTTTGCTGTTTGCACTCATCAGTTCTTCTGTTGTTCTTCTTGTTTTTCTCTCTTTTAATTTCTACCCTGTTTCCTGTATTTGACACTCTATTCCAAACCCCAGTGATCTGTGTGTCTTTGTATGTATGGATTACATCTGGTGAAAATTTCAAGTCAACAGCACCTTTAGAAATATATTTACTGAGAAAAATGGTGACGTGACTTATTTTACCCGCTGTATATTAGTTACCAAATATTGGATTCAATTTATCAACTTGGTTTCTTTCAGTTAGCACAGGTTTTGTACTGATTAGTCACTGGCCTCACTGATCTGAGCTTATGTACCTCAGTTTTTGAGTGAACAGTTCCAAAATGATGCACTGACTGAATTATTCACTTCTCAGACGCTCCAAGACCCAGTAAACGCCAATTCAACATTTAATCGATGAAAACGTGCCAACCAACACCAACAGAAGCCGACAGAGGTAACACTGGGTCAAATAGAGATAGAGATAGAGGTCAAATTAAAACATACTTACAGCGATCACCTCTGTCTGGGATTGACTGTTGGCCTTCTGTCGCCGCAGGTCAGATTTTATAAGCACTGTGAGGCAGAGAGACATAAACTGATAGTCTGAAGTTAAAAGTAACATACTTTTTAAATTTCATTTACATTTATGCATTTGATACATGCTTTAATTCAAGGTTTACACTTCATCAGTTCATGCATTCCCTGGGAATCGAACCCATGACGTTGGTGTTGCAAGCACCACTGCTCTACTGTCTGAGCTTTCATGGTACGTTCATATTACTGTATAAAACCCTGCGTGTGTGTATGTGCCACTGTGACGCAATATACTGAAGTTATGCTCTATTCATCACGTGTGCAGAAGATGAGTGGAGCGGTTATCTAGTGGTCACATGATGAGTGTCATGTGATGAGCTTCTACCTGTCATGATGGAGCCGATGAAGAGGAACACACAGAGGAAGATGTTTCCGGCCAGTGTGCTGAAGTGATCGATGATTTTGCCTTGAATGATGGTGATTGCAATTCCAAACATCTGCATACAACAGAAAGATCCTGAGCAAGTATGTCATGTACCATAAACATGCTGTTATCTTTATACACCTCCGTATCTTCTTAAGCGCTACTGAAATTATGTTCAACCAACAAACTACACTGATTTGGAGAAACATAATAATCTGTAGTATAAACAAATTTTTAGGTAGATTAGGGAACACATTATCACTATTAAGTATTAAGAGTTTTCCCTCAATAAACTGCAAATGACTGCTTATTGATAGAAAGAACGGTAGTTGTTGTAGTAGTTATTTTTAGATTTGGGGTTTCAAAATTGTTAAATGGTGGCACTGCAATCAACTAATCTATTTTAGTTCAAATTAACAGCTAGTATATCACATGCTAAATATAACTTATTGTGCATGTATATTTAATGAATAAGTGAAAAAAATCAAAAAAAGTTGATGTATTGATCAACACGCATTATGTCAACAGACGTTTTAATTAAATCAATACCTTAGAATTTTAAACTTGCAACCATGCATTTATTTACAGTAAGTCATTCAGGTCCCCTGAATGTCTTTTTAGATTTGACTCATCCTCATATCTTAAAGTGCAGAGCAGATGCATAACCTGCGCTGAGCAGTTGAGCAGTCCTGAAGATGTTCCCTCTGACTCTGGGTACGTGAGCTCCACTGCAAACTCAAAGCCCAGCGGCAGATAACCCGTCATGAAGAACCTGCGGTCAAAGACAGAAGAGACTGAAGAATCAGCTGGTCCAAACAACTGCACTGTATGCATCGATACTGGAAACAGTTCATCAGTCAGCCATTAGCACTCATAAAACATAAAAAACATACATCTAGTTCACTCATGAAACTCTAGATGTTGCAAGCTAATAGGTCTTTTATATGCAATCTGCTATATGCTATATGCTATAACACAAGCTGCTCGGCCTCTTCTGATTCTCAATATTTTAATAGTCAAGTTCAGTGTTGGCTGTAAGCTGGACCTGTAGGGCACTAGAGTTCCTCTGAAACCCTCCACCTCCCCCAGCAACACCTGTCTAGTACTGCAACGGGATTTATGTATGCATAGCCATGCAGCAGCAGCATATCTTACATGCTAACAGCAGCATGTCTGTGTATCTATTGGCAGTAGCAAGTCCATACTGGCTCTGCAGCAGTGTGCGTAGCAGATCTAGTCTGCCAAGACCTAATACATTAACAACATTGTCATATCAGTTAACATGGTGAAACTAATTACAAAGTTGTAATGATTGAACTACAATTAGATGTTGATCCACAAAATGTATTTATGGTCAGTCTGTGTAGAAATCATGAGGTAAAGATTTGGCTGGCTAGCATGGTTCAGTTAGTTGACGCTGTGACTACCATACTGGGCGCAAAAGTATCTTTCATAAATTACAATATTTCATTATTAGATGTTTGCACTCTAAGAGTGAAATGGACTTTTGTTGTGAAATTCTGCAATGTTTTTATACTTGTGCACGAACACTGGCACATGTGCACTTTGGTCAGAGTGGAAGAAATGTGATGTAAGCGTATACTGTGACAAAGCTGAGAAAAGTTTAACTTTTCTCTAAACAGACACAAAATCTTTTCCTTCCAGAATGTTGCATTTTGATAACACATTATTTTAATGTGACATCGTTACACTTGTTACATGTACTTGCTATAGTGAAAACTGTAAATTATGTAGAATTACAAGCAACTAACCCTAAACCAAACCCTAACATTACAGTAAATGCATGATGTTAATTAATAATGTAGCACGGCCACACAAGAGGGAGATATTTACAAAGCTGTTGATAAAATGCTAATTTGATTGTTGATATATCTCAGCTGTTATCGTTGTCCGTTTGTTTGTTTTTCCCTGTCGAGTGTTGTGGACCCTGTTTCTTCTCGCGAGAGTTCCGTCATGACGCGCCAGGGAATCCCCTGATGTCATCTGAATCTGCTGATTTTAAACTTCCGATAAAAGAAGCCAGTTTATCGGCATTTGAGTAGCAACGCTCAACGTGCTCATTTTGTAATATAATCAACGATCGATCGTCTCATACACTCTGCTGTTTTTTTTTGCTGTGACTCTTGGGATTCTCCTTGAGGAATAGTCCAACTTTATCACAGGACAGCCTGTTCCTCTACATGCTCCCGGACTAAAATTAGTACCACAAGCTCTAATAACTGATTTCCTGCATTACTACCATGACAAACCTCTAGGAGGCCATCTTGGGCAGTTAAAAACCCTGCTGAAAATCTTAGAGGTGGCATGGTGGCCATCCGTAAGGAAGGACGTTTGGGAGTACGTCAAAGGCTGTGAGGTATGCCAGAAATACAAACCCAGCAATACAAAACCATCTGGACTTTTGCAAAGTTCACAGATCACAGAGCCTGGACACACCCTAGGGATGGATATAATGGGTTCATTCCCCACCAGTAAAAAACAGAACACCTACCTCCCTGTCATTGTTGATTATTACACGAAGTGGGTGGAGATGTTTCCACTTAGGGATGCCAAGACCCCGAAAATAGTGAAAATCCTCCGGGAGGAGATTTTTAGTCGTTGGGGAGTCCCTAAGTACCTGGTGTCTGACAGGGTTGTGTTCAGAGACTAACAACAAGCTGCCACCCACAAGCAAACTTACCTGAAAGAATCAACCAGATTGTAAAAACAATGATTGCTGCCTATGTTGGACAACAACATCAAACTTGGGACCAGTGGCTACCAGAATTACGCTATGCCGTTAACACCGCCCAGCAGGAAAGCACGGGGAAGACACCTGCAGAGCTCATGTTGGGTAGGCAAGCGCTGGGACCACTGGAACGACTAATCCACCGACCACCTTCACCTGATCAGGCTGCGTATTCCCTAGTGGAATGACAGAACATCCTGACGGAGGAGGTGAAAAACAGGATGAGGATGAGCCAAGCCAAACAAGTTAGGTATTAAATTTATCGTTTTACTTGATCTTAGTGCTGCGTTCGACACTATAGATCATGACATATTCATAGATCGATTACAAAACTATACAGGTATTCAAGGGCAGGCTTTAAGATGGTTTAGATCCTACCTGTCCGATCACTACCACTTTGTTCATTTAAATGGGGAGTCATCTCAATTATCACCAGTAAAATATGGAGTGCCACAAGGATCTGTCCTAGGTCCGCTGCTATTTTCAATATACATGTTGCCCCATGGTAATATTATTAGAAAATACGGGATTAGTTTCCACTGTTATGCTGATGATACTCAACTATATATCGCAACAAGACAAGATGAGTGTGTTTAAAATGTAAAAGATTGGATGACCAATAATTTTCTATTATTAAATTCGGATAAGACAAAGATATTATTTATTGGACCAAAAGACAGTACACAGAATCTCTTGGATTACAATTTGCAACTAGACGGATGTACTGTTACTTCCTCTACAGTCAAAAATCTGGGTGTTATATTAGATAGCAACTTGTCTTTTGAAAATCATATTTCCCATGTTACAAAACGTACTCGGTTACTAACGTAACCTTTTTTCTCCTGAACTGAAGCCTTTTTTCATTCATGCAGTGAAACTGCACGGCCATTGGTTTGTGCAGTGTTGGGTTTAAAAAAAGTGCTGCACGAGCCTATGGTGACGAAGCCCGCCAAGTCTGCCAAAGCCCGCCAGAATGGTCGGGGCATCTGGCTATATAAGCGGGCGTTCGCCACAGGATTCTCAGGTTACTTCGACTGAAGCGATGACCGTGAGTCGTGCATCTACATAGCATGACCAGAAACGCAGTACTCGTTCCCATATCTCAGGGAACCGAGGTTATGTTAGAATAGGGGCATAAGTGGCCGCTATAGCCGCCACATAGACTAAGCGTGGATGGGGAGCGTCCCTTATCCAGCAGCTCTTGCAGAAATGACAATACCTCTGTCTAATCGGAAGTATGAGGGTCTTTGCCGTGGTTTAGACACCAAGCGGAGAAAAAAGACCACTTCAAGGCGTAGAGGTAGACGGGGCTCTAGCCTCCGAAATTGTGTTTAAGATTCACTCTGGGAGGCTTGAAGGCTCCCGTCAAGTGGCCAGAGGTGCAGGGCCCATAGGTCGGGCCGAGGATGCCATATTGTCCCGTTCACTTGAGAGT